TGTTTTAATATGATCAGAAAGTTTTTGAATATTTCTTTTTAGAGACAAATTTCACCCTTCCCAACTTAAATAATTCTGAAATTTCAGAAAAACAGTTGCCTTTTAGTTATTAAACTCGTTGTCCCCAGTCCTAAATTGTTGCCTCAAGCTGAGTTACTGTGTCTGAACCTATATCTCTTGAGCAAAGTTTAGAAACTGGTCACACTGCCTATTACCTGCTCAGCCTCTTGTGCAGTGGCAGTTTGGCAGCTTTAACTCTTTAATCTAGAAACATATCTAAGGTATTTCTTTTCAGATGTGGTGTAGATATGGGGGAGAGAGCAATGACTCTTTTTATGTGCTTTCCCAGATTTCAGTCCTGAATTCAGCCAGTTTTAGATTAGGCCTTATAAAAGGCCTCTTTTTTTTTTTTTCCTCCTCATCTTTCCCATCAGCTTCCCCCAACCATCCAGATTTTTTTTTTAATGAAGTTGGGGACCACTAGTGAAATGATGAAAGGACCAATTAATTCTGAGTAACAATCGCCTACTCTTCACCTAGAATATAATGAAAAAGAATTCAAGTTTTTTAATTCAGTACAGATAGGCATAAACATTCATGGACAGGTGAATAGGTAAATTCAGGCATCACTTTGGAACCTAGTGGATGATGGTGATGGTTTTTGGATAGTGTGTGCTTCATTATTACCATTTGGGGTGGGTACATGATGTGATTTCTTGATGATACCTACACTTTTGGTACTATTTTCCTTTTAATTTTCTGGTGTCTTAAGATTTACCACTAATTACTAATATGTGCCACTCCTCTTTACAATTCACTTAACCCCTTAATAGGTGAAATGTTCAGTTATTGCTGGCGTAAATGCTTCTTTTCCTACTATTAAGATCCTTAAAGGCTGTGATTAAAAGAGACTTCATTAACTTGATCTCAAAGAAATAGAAACTTCCATGAACTAATTCTTGTTTTCCTTTATATAATATCTTAGAAATGTGTTGAAGACAAGCTATATTTTCCTTACTTGCTTTTGATAGTTTCTTTTTTTTAAAGCATAGATATCCAGCCTCTGATAAGCCTCTGAAATGTGAAATTGTAATTCATGTAGGTGGCATTACCACAAATCTGAAATCAGTGCTGGGGCATAAATGTGATAAGACCTTGTGGGTTTCTACTGCTCAAAGAGGATCCTCTCTTTTATACTTGTTTTTAAGACCTTTTTGATGGATATTTTATAGGTAGTTGCTATTAATGTCTCCATTTGAGTAATGAACATTTTCTTGTATTTCTAGATGTGTTCTGATTTTAAACCTCAACTCTTCAGGTTGGAAAAACCCAGAATAAAGTTGTACCCACAGTGGGCTCTCAGTAAGTGTGATATTTCACAAATGTCAAAGATTAAAATCCTTAGTTATGTCTTAACATAACATGTCTGTTTTCATAAAATGCTTAAAAATGAAGCCTTTGAAAAATGAGGAAGTTCTAAAAATACCAAGCCTCTTAGTTAACATATCATAAAGGCCTCTGGCAAATGTATGAGAAGAATTTTGAAAACTTGCCCACTGGTGTGAATTTCTCACTGCATCCTGACATTCCTCAAATTACCAGTCTACTCAGTTCTCCCTGCTTCACTTGAGGTCCCATCCTTGCTTGTTTTTATATTGTCTGGCCAAATCCCAAAATACCTCCATGTTTAATTATCATTTCCCCAATAAACTTGTCAGGAAAATTTTTTAAAAATATGAATATTCTCTCAACTCACTTGCCATTTGAGCTAAAAGGAAAGGAGGGTTACACTGATCTCTTCATCCTCACAAATCAATGTTGAACTTTCCAGACATTTAAATTTTTGACTGGCCTACCCTTCTAAGGGGTGGATACAGAAACTGCAAATTGAGTGAAACCATCTATTTCTGCTTTAGCCCATTTGTCTCTTTCTGTACAAGCTGGCCATTGCTGTGTTCTCAAGCTAGTTCTAAAGCTGTTGCATATGAAGGAGATGATCAAAATATGATTTCATGAATCACATTGGTTATTGCCATACGAAGAGAATGTTTTAGCTCCACAGTGCTTAAAGGGGTAGAATAATGTGAACAAACCTAACAGGGAGCATACTCTATAGAAGAAGTACATTAACCACATAGTGAATGAGTTCCAAAATTATTAAAGTCCAGTTGCTCAATTAGGATAGAAGCAGGCCTCTGTAGAAGTAGTCTAATTAGAAGGGGCCAAGATGGCAGACTAGAAGCAGCCTGCACATGGCACTATCATGGAGAAGAATGAAAGTGGTGAGTAGATACCACCTTCAGATTGATTATCTAAGGGAGAGCATTGGGAATCCACAAAAAAGTGATGAGAGGCTCCCAAAGTGAAGGAGAGGGAATTGGGGTGACCCACTTGGCAGGATCAGAGGTACATGGGGAAGACACCTGCATGTAGGGGAGGGACAGAGAAGAGAACCCTGGGGCTCCACACTTCTGCAAGGACATTGCAATCAGAGCTGTGGGAAGGCCCCTCCACCATAGCTGCTGGACTAACTTAGGGAGCTGAGTAGAGACTGTGGACTGACATTGCTCCGGAGAGAAGGCACAGCAGGGTCCTGCTGGCTTACAAACCCTAGGCATGGTGGCTGGTGCCATTTTGAGGTCACAGCCCCAGAGTGCTATCTCTACCTGGGGGTCAGATCCATTGCTTTGCCTCTCATCTCCCCTGCCAGGCTGGGGAAGGAGCAGGAAGGGTGGGTGCTCTTGTGTGTCCTGTGGGCAGGTGCCTTGTGTCCCCATCACCCCTGGGGAACCTGGGCGGAATGAGTGCCCGTGGAGCTGGAACCCACTGCTGCTGCCTGCGTGGTCCCGCCCAGCCACATCTGCCACAGAACCTGGAGAGAGCGAGTGCCTACAGCCACTGGTGCCTGCTGCTGCCATCTCAGTGATGCAGCCACTACCACCATCACCTGGGTAACATCGCCATCAATGGAACTGGGTGGGGCAAAGGCTCACACCACCATGCACCAACCCCCACCGCTACCGCTGGACCTGGGCAAAGTGAGAAATCACGCCACCACAGGTCAACCACCCATGACAACCACAGGGGAGCTAGGAGATGCAACAGAGCAGCAGTGTTAAAGGCTCATAGTGCATCTGCCCCACTCCTGCCTGGTCAATCTTCCAAAGTAGGACTCAAGTGTGCCATCCAGGGATCTCTCTCTTTGCTGAGTAACAGAGTTCTCAGCAGAGGAGAAGAGATGTACTGCAACACTATGTCTTGAGCTGAGAGAGGAGGTTTTTGATGAGAAGGAACCAACATGAGAACTCTGGCAACATGGAAAAACAGGTTGTTTTGACAACCTCAAAGGATCACAATAATTCTCCAGCAACAGACTTCAACAAAAAGGAAATCGTTGAAATGTCAGATACAGAATTCAGAATATGGATGGCAAGTAAGATCAACGGAATTGATGAGAAAGTTGAAAACCACCACAAGGAAACCAAAAAATTAATTCAGGACATGAATGAAAAATTCACTGAAGAGATAGATAACATAAGAAAATATAACAGAATTTCTAGAAATGAAAGAGTCATTTAGGAAATGTCAAAATAGAGTAGAAAGTCTTAACAACAGTCTAGACTAAGCAGAAGAAATAATTTCAGAACTTGAAGTCAAGGCTCAGTCAGCAAACAATGTAGAAAACTCAGTAAAACATAGAAAAAAGAATCAAGAAGAATGAACAATCTCTCTGAAAAATAAGGGACTATGTAAAGCAAATGAATGTAAGAATCATAGGTATCCCTGTTGGAGAAGAAGAAAAAGCAAAAAACATGGAAAACCCATTTGAGAGAATAATTGAGGAAAAATTCCCTGGTGTCACTAGAGATTTAGACATCCAGATACAAGGAGATCATCAAACACCTGGAAGATTATAGCAAATAGAACATCACCAAGGCACACAGTCGTCAGTCTGGCCAAAGTCAAAGTGAAGGAGAAAATCCTGCAAGCTGCAAGAAAAAAGCATCAAGTAACTTACATAGGAAAACTCATTGGACTAATGGCAGACTTCTCAGCAGAAACCTTATAAGCCAGAAGGGATTGGGTTCCCACTTTTAGTCTTCTTAGAAAATAACTGTCAGCCAAGAATTTTGTATCCTGCAAAACTAAGTTTCATAAATGAAGAAGAAATATTCTTTACCAGACAAGCAAACACTAGGGGAATTTGTCACCACTGGACCTGCCCTACAAGATATACTTAATAGTGCACTATACATGGAACAGAACAATTGATATCCACCAGTGCAAAAATACCTGGAAGTTAAAACTCACAGCTCTTACAAGACAGTAACACAATGGTAAAAAAAAGACAAAGACGGTAATTAGATAATGATAAAAGGAGCAATTCAACAAGAAGATATACCAATTCTAAATATATATGAACCTGACACAGGAGCTCCCAAATTCGTAAAACAAATTCTACTAGATCTAAGGAAGGAAATAAAAGGCAACATCATAATAGCTGGGGACTTCAACGCTTCACTGATAAAACTGGCCAGATCATTGAGGCAGAAAATCAACAAAGAAATACTGGACTTAAATAAGACTCTAGGCCGGGCGTGGTGGCTCATGCCTGTAATCCTAGCACTCTGGGAGGCC